TTATTTTATTTTATTTTATTTTATTTTTCAATATCATCAACTCTTGATAAGCGTGATAGTACGCAACTTTTGGCAAAGTTTAAAAAAATTACTTTGCCAATGTGGCTAATTAGTTTGTACGTGGAGGAGATACCGTAAGAAATTACGTAAAACATATTCCCTAGAACCCTTGGATCTCGCCACCTGCTGCCTCTACTTATTGGGGGAAGGCCTTCATTTACCTCTTTACTGACCTTGGTCCATTTAATCCATAGTTTTAGGAATTGTTGACGACCTGATATCAAAGGTGGCTCAATGTCTGAACTGTGTCTGAGGCGTGTTATCGGCATAGGTCTGTCCTAGGGTGCGTTAGAAGTTGCGGCGAAGACTGAATATAGGTGACTGTTGCCGCAGAAGTAGAACTTAAATAGCAAAACGAGTGACTAACTAAGAATTAGTCAATGATCTTTGGTGTTTATTCCATGTAGTTAGAAACGTCGCTTTGGGTCGATACGGACAGTTTGAGAAAATTCTACCTTAGACAAGCGCTAGTGAAATAGCTTAAAATAAAGCGAGTTCTTTTTAAAGCTAATTGTTTAAACCCTTTCTCCTCCTGGCATGGTGACTGATATGTCTTGTTCTTCTTCTCTTCTTGTTTTAATATAAACAATGGGTTCTCAAAGTTCCTTTCACCATTTGTGATTCTATTAAAAGGTGTCTAAACAATACAGAAAATATGACGATGGGTGTCCCTCTTTTGTTAATGTCACGTTTCCAACTTGATTATAAAGAAAGAGAAAAAAAAACCATAAAAGACAAAAGGTTTTTACAATGTTCGATTGAGAACCAGTAGAAAGATTAAATAATTCAACCAATGTGTGAAAGCCCAAAACAAAAGATTTCAAGTGTTATTTGCTCCTTCATAGTTTGTCGGGAATGCTAACCATTACCTCTACTAAATTTGTCTCCACCGTTTCCGCAGAAATGGAGACATGGGTGAATCTGACGTTTTCATCAATGTAAACAAGTACTTCTCGTTATGCGTACGCAATGTTGTCGCGTGGTTTCGGAATGTCTTCCCATTTCCGACATTCTGTTGTCTTTTGCTTCCAGCTAATAGAGTGCTCTCGGTTTGACTTTTATATTCAATAAATCATTTACATGAAACACAATTACATTTTACGTTACAGGATATGCCCATAGAGAGAGGAAACAATAAACAGGTGTTGCAAAACTTAAATTGACTAGCGACTTTGAGTGCTGCAAATTTTAGATGCCAGAGTCTTTGAAAAAGACTTCAGCCTTACAGCATTAGTTTGAAATACTGATAAGCTTTAAATCAACCTTCGATTCGATTTAATTAAACTTACATTAATTAGAAGTCTTGATGAATTAAAACATGAAACAAAGAACACCCACATATAAAGAAAAATATATTAATAAACCTTATACGGACTTGAGGTTTATTTTTTGCTCTTTTATGAGCTGCCAAAGTAAACTTCATTAGTGCGACTAGGCCAGAATTCTATATGATTGCAAACTGATGCAATATTAATATTTGATCGAACTCATAACGCCTTTAAACCTTTTCTTGTTTCGGACAGGTCACAGTATTACTTCATAGCTGACAATACTCTTTCGATGGGTTTTACGGATCATATACCCAATAGTTTCCTGATATTTGACTCAGTTTTCTTGGCGCTGGGATTGGCCAGTAACCTCTTCGTGTGCTTTATCATGACTCGACGCAAGTTGGTAGGAAAGAACCTCTCCAATTTTTACATATTTCATCTCTCGATGGCTGAAGTCGTTTACAGGTTCATGATGGCTGTGGTGAGAATCTTCACCTCAATGACAGACCCTCGTTTGTTATCCCACGGTGAATGCAAGGCCATGGAATTTTTTCCTCACGCAACGTGTGCAACTGTGTTCTTTCTTCTCGCTGGACTTGCCATGGATCGTAAAAACCACATTGTAAATCCTCTGAGAAATTTGGCTCTCACTGCACACCGCAAGAAGAGAATTGCCTCAATTTGGTTATTTTCTGTGGCCATTTCGTTTCCAATAATATTTGGGGCCCACGTCAACCCGCGCGTGATGGGAATTACAAGACAAGACAATTTATCAGAACCCATTTACACCACACCTGCGTTTATTTGTGTTCTTCCACGCAGTTCTTTTGCAAGTCAAATTTCGTTCACGATTTATTTTTTCTTTACGTTTGTTGCTCCTTTGTCAATAATTACAACCTCGTATTGGAAGATTTTTATTTTCTTGCGAAAAAGAGCCATTAAGCGTACAATGAGCCCATGTTACATAAGGTCTAAATACAACGCTCTTCGTATGCTTGTTTTGATTGTTGTAAGTTTCCTGTTCAGCTGGGGACCATTCATGCTCTTAGAATTAGCAAAGGTTTACGGTGCCAATGTTAGGTTTGGAGATATTTCTGTCAAACAATTTGTAGTGAGTATTTCGCTGACCAGCTCAGTCATTCATCCAGTGTTATATTCATTTGGAAATGCGAATTTTCGATGCGAGGTTGTGAGGACTTTTAGAGACTGTAAAATATGGTTTTCTAGAAAGATAGAGACACTGAACTTTAGATTTTAGCCAGTTACAAACTATGGATGAATACACAAGTTCAAATTAACGCAATACTGATAAATTTGCACAGAAAACAGCCACTGTAGCATTTCATTCGGTGTTTTACTCGTGTAGACGGAATATGTTCCTTAAAGTGTTAGCAATAATAAGGAATAATAAACCGTTTCGTTGTTTGTTGTTGTTGTTTTGCGGTGGCGAGTACGAGGAGCACATCAAAATTCGCAGATGAGATCAAAGTCACATAAAAATATTTCTTTGGTTCTCAAGAAATTAGTTTTGTCTTGTAAAAGAAAGCAAATCATTAATCTATGAGCCAAACTGACTATGATTCAGTTACAAAATTATTAATCATTCCTGGTTTTGACTTCTTTTGTCAGACCCTTTTGGGTGGCTCTGAATTCCTAGAAGTTTGACTTCGTACACATCAAGTAAAATCAACAGGAGCTGGGTGCCATGATTTAGGAAACTTCAGTTGCTCTATGTAGTGACCTTGGTTTTTATACCTTTTTGTGTAGTTTAAATGCAGTATGTCAGTACATCTTTGAAGACCTTTTGAACTTGGGTGTGACTAGGAGAAACAAGTTTACATTTTATATTTTCACTTGTGGAAACATCGACGGGTAAACTTTAATCGTGACTTGGTGCGGAAAAATCATGGAAAATCGTGAAATATAAGTCAAGCTATTCATGAATATCGACATTCATAAAATCGCTAATTGAAGACGATTTACAGCTGCCAATGAACCGTGGCTACATAAAGAAAATACTGCATCCTAGCTTTAACCACTTGAAAAGCTACATTGTGGTTTAAATCTCTCACTTCCACTTTATCTATTGTAGTGTATATATTGTTGAGGCTGGTATGTGCCGGATTTGTTATATTCTTGAGAAAAGCATGCACCGGGTTCATAACGTTTTCCTTTTCAAAAAAGGTACCGTTATCTATATCTCCCTTTATAAACATGATTTATTGTTGGTTTTGTTTAATAATTTCTAGTCCTAATATACTAAAACTTGTGCGCGGTCCTCTCCGAGGGTCTTGTATCGGTCGATACTAGTTGCGCGCGACCAATAAGATTGCCATTTTCCTTGACAGCTGTCGGGTACCTGTCTTCCTGTCTGAAGAGGTGTTTCTCTTCTCTGGTTTTACAGGCACAGGTTAAAGGTGATTCCGGCTCAAACATGTTGTAAGAACCATTCATGACCATAGTTTGAAATGCAAAAATGGTTTATGTTTTATCAACTTTTCTTCTCACAACTTTGTTTTGTGTTACCACTGCAGGGACGGATGAAGGTAAAGTGATAGGTTCCCTAAGTGAGGGACGCATTAGTAAAGTTAGTTAAAGTTAGGCTAGGACTTTGAGACTTCCTCATGATTCTTAATGATTCTTCTCAACCCATGATCCCTCCGATAGAGAAGATTACCCGTGCCGGCCAATACACGCTTTCTGGGGCGGGTTGTCGAACCTCCAAGATGACCCGTATTATTGGAAGTCAAGTTTTGTGAGGCTTGACAAAAGACCGTGAAACTTGAAGAGATAATGAACAATGCCGACGATACCGCAAATGTTCATCTTCTTAGTCGAAGGCAGACACTTCAGAGACAGAAGAGGATGCAGACTTTTAAGGGGATAGATACATCTAGGGGCGACCGATGGCGCTTTTTGAAAGTAAGATCGCGCGATACTTGGACAGAACAAAACAGGAAAGCGGATGTCGAATGAATTGGGACCAGTGGGTAAAATGAACTATTGACGGATAGACCATTACTATTCGTCATAGCAAAAATCGATCTGTTTTTGCCAGGAGGTTGTGAGCATTCGAAAAAAAAAAATGATAGGATATGAAAGGGAAGTGTAAAAAATTCTTAAATAATTCACATCATGGATGGAAAGGATTTTGCTCTAAAATTAGAATCGTAAGGCATAATGCATAAGGATAAGACAAGCGCATTTGTATTTCAGTCGTTTAAAGATGATCACAACATTTTTTTAATGGAAACATGTTTCGAATGAACCCTTATGCATCTCCAGTACAAGTTGTAGAACCCGCCAGTGGGTGTGATAAACACAATAGAAATACGACTCTCGAATTTGTATCACGCCCTGTAGCGGGTTTTGTTGCTTGTACCTAAGATGGATGAAGTTTTATCTATCCGAAACATATTTCCATTAAAAAACTTTTTTAGACCATCTTGGAATTTATTATTTCCTGCCTGAATTCGTTATATGAAAATTTAGTTTTCTTTCACAATTTTTTCTATAGAGATGGCTATAGAATCATGACGATATATCCATTTTATAATGGCATCCTGATCTGACTCAAATTACTTGTCAGACTATAGTGTTTGTAGTCTTTCATAAATCAGGAGTACCGTCAATTGAATCAACAAAAATGATGTTTTTGGCGAAAAGTTTCACGCCCTGGGGAGTACCAATTCAAGAAGAGTTGAAAATGTGATCTTATTAGAAATAATAAAACCACTCTCGCACTCCCCCAAAAAGCACACAAAGCAAGCAGACATGAAGTATGTATCTTTGCATTATTTTGTTAGACATACACAACCGAAAGCACCGCCTTTATGCAACTTAAAACCTATTAGATTATGAGCTCGAGGTTTCTAACGCGTGATAGTAGATTTATACTACAAAAGAATAGAATATCTCAACAAACACCGTGACCACACGAGAAAAGAATAGTAAACCTGTTATAATATTTTTCAGATACAATAAGCCTCCTATTTGCCGGAGATATCAACTTTTCGGACCCAGTTCGCTCCGATGTCAAGAAGCACCTTTACGGGTACAACGACACCTTGAGTCAGTTGGCGCCTTATATCAGAGAAGCTGACCTCGCCTTTGGAAATCTCGAGTCTCCCTTTGTTCCTGAAAAGACGCTTTCCGCAAAAAACAATGACGCAAAACTGATATTTCTGAACGCAGAGAAACAAAGCTCCTCAGCTTTAAGGTTGGTGTAAAATTTTCAATACAACTTTTTTGATCACCAACAAAAAATTGAGACTCTAACATTTTTTAGTATTACCCAACTAGTGGACTAATGCAAATTCTGCATTTTAATTGGCTACGCTACTAGAGGACTATTAGTAATAGTCCTTGAGTAGCGAAATTGGTCCAATCGAGCGTGACGCTTTCTTCGTTTTATTTCCAAATAAATATTTCTTCAA